TTTTTGGCTATCCTTGCTCTTTGCTGCCCGTTGTAGGATGAATAAATCTTATCTTCTCTTATTGAGTGACAAAAAGACATAAATAGATCTAGAAATCCCTTCTGCTTTTAAAAGAGTTCCCTGTCATAAATAAGTACCTCTCATGAACCATGAATTCAATTATTATCTTTGTTTGTTGTATCTAAATCCCTGAATCACCAGGATTAATGGTTAAAACAGAAACATTATTAAAATCTCATGGAGCTTCTGAACAGCGGTAACGTGTCAGATAAAAAGTTGATATATTATTACCAAAGAGAACAGGGTATGGGTCATTTAGCAACACAAGCTACAAAGTTCATTGTTATTAAAGAAATAGATCAACATTCTTGGAAATGTGCATAATCACATTACACCTGAAAAAGCAAACAAAAATCAACATCCTGGATTTTGTTTCAAAAGAACAAGCCAGTGTGAAAGGTACATGTGCTTCAGTTTTGCCGTTCCTCTGTATTTCATTTGTTATATTACTTAGACTTAGACTTTCTTTATTGTCATTCAAACTTGTACTTTACAGTGCAGATAAGAACGAAATTTCGTTGCATTTGGCTCGTTGTAGTGCAGGATAAAAAACAGCAGCATGTATTTACATGTAAAAAATAAAAATAAGGTGCAGATATAAATAGATATAAAAAGAAAAAGAAAGAAAAACTATGAGTAAAGAAATAACAGAAATAAAAACTTCTTACCTTCCATTTCTTTAATTTCCTCTTTTTTTCCAGTGCTTTGGGGAGGAACAGTCCATCATACAGATGGAAAAGGGTCCATGACCTTGAAATGGATAGATAAATACAGGCGTAATCCATTGATAGTGTACAGATTATACAGTCAGTATGTCTTGTTGAGTTTGAACGGATTACTCCTGAATCTAAACTTGAGAATATTGCTTACAAGAAAGACTGTTATGTGTTTGTAAATGTATGCATGGTCTGGGTGGACTGTGGTACCGAAACGCCCTCTGGGTTAAAAAAAAATTCTGAGTCTAAATATTATTTTTAAAGATTCAGACCCTCCAGTTCTTATCAGAGTCCTTACAGACCGAGCTACCACCACCTCACCCCACCCTCCTATTTTTTATTTATTAATGCAGAAGCCCTTGCTTTTTTGAAAGATGGAAGGGTTATTTCTGGATCATTTCACTTTCATTTTACTCTTTTCATACCCAATAACATAATTTATAAACTATTATATGTAATATTGAAAAGGGATGTATTACTCACCCAGGTCATGACAGAGGCCAGCAATCTGAACACAAAGGACGTCTCTGTCAGTGATGCTGAGATCCGGCTGCCTTGACCTGAGAGCCTCAGCAAGTTTTCCTGCTAAGTATCCCACCCTTTTTAGACCACAGAAAACTTTTTTTTTTAAAGTCATAACGCAGTTATCACAATAGGATGCTGCTACCAAAATGAAAATATATACTTTTATAAGATCCATACTAAGACAGGCACTGTTTTCTGCCTTTATTGGTTTTACAAGGTGCTTATGTGAAAACCATGAGTCTTCTCCTTATTTGGACTGAGGTCACCTGTGGGCTGAAATCTGAAAACTTGCTGACTTACCCGATTGAGTGTTCAAAGCGGTTGTGAGACGCTCCAGGGTAAACAAAGTAGACACCTCCAAGCTGCTTTATGAATCGAAGTCTCTGGAACTGAGGTGTGTCAATGATCTTGATGAGGAGTGGGTGTAACTCTATGCTACCATGGATGGGATCATTAAACACCTGGCAGAAAACAAACAAACAAAAGCTAAGAAAAATGAAATGCCAAAAACAAAACAACACCATGAAGACCAGCTCAAGATTGCCTGAGGGCTCTGGGAGGTATAGGATAAGCATGAAATGAGCCCAAGAATAAAGCTGATGCTACAAAGAATGTTTTTTTTGACTTTACCACTGGTTGGGATACTAAACATCTAGTGAACAAAGAGAACAAAACATTGGACACTGAAAATGTCCTTTCAATACAAAGCGTGTCTTCCTATTCCTTTTTTTTAAGTATTGAAGGAAAGGAGAACAAAGAGGGTTGGTTTGGATAGAAAAGGTGAAAAAGCTAGCTGTCCTCACCACTGGTGGGATATTCAGCATCTAGTAGAACAAAGAGAACAAAACATTGGACACTGAAAATGTCCTATTTCAATAGCCTACAGTCTGTGTTCCTCTTCCTTTTTTTTAGGATTAAAGGAAAGGAGAACAAAGAGGGTTGGTTTGGATAGTAAAGGTGCACAAAGCTAGCTGTCCTCACCACTGGTGTGGATAATAAGCATCTAGAGAACAAAGTCCTCCCAGTTAATTCGATTTTTAATTTAGACTGATAATGGATAATACATGTACACAGGCTTAACTTTGTGGAGGTGTGTTTGTGTGCGGTTTATTCTACAAGTCGTCATTGTTTGTTCTGTTTATTCTCTCTTATCTCTCCAGCCGCAAAAATGTGGTGTGATGTGTGGTAAGACGTGAAGTATTTTACCTTGGTGATCAGTCTGTAAAATTTAGAAAAAAAAAGCATTAACAGTATGAAGAAGTGCTGAAACTTCCAACTTAAAATGATTTCTTTATAAAGTTGAGATATTTTAAACTGGTTTAACAAAGACAGAGATACTCACTTATTTCCCATTTTGCCCCGACTTGTTCTAGATAAAAGAGCAAGAAGTTAGTCTTCAGTCATTTATTAAGTAACCTCAGTTTTACACAAGCTAAAATGCAACATTGTCAAGTTAAACCATGAGTTTAAAATAACCATGGATACAACTTACCAAACCAGAAAACAAACCATGAATTTAGTCGACTGTAACTAGAAAACCGACCTCTAAATTTTCCTCCAATCGTCCTACTTTTTGTACCAACTCATTTCCTCAGCTACCTGTGACTTAAAGATCAAATCTATCTATATAGTTTTTAATGTTTTGAAGCCGTAAGACGTTGCATTTACATCAAGCTAATGTTTCTGATGCTGATCTGACAAGTGTCAAATGTCATTTATATAGCCATAGCTGCTTAAGGCTTTTTTTTTATGACGCTCAGGGTTTTAAAACATCTGACATTTATATCTCCACCACACCCATGTCATTGGTCTTTACCCTCATAATGATCCTCTTCTTTTATTGATATACCAAACATTTCAGAAAACAAAACTGAAAGTGCATCAGAATTTCTTAAGTCAAATTAACAAATCTAAACGTATAAAGAAGTGAAGAAATGACAGGATGTTAGAAATAAATCAGTATTAGAAGTTACTTCTGAAGAAACATTTAGAGGAATGTTGCATGTTTAACCTGCTCTTTAGACAGAGATTTATAGTGTACTCTATTTGAGGACTGCAATTACATCAAATGGCCACAAGATGGGAATGTTGCTGAACTCTCTATGGTAAAGTGTGCCCTGACCATTTGAAGAATGCTCTGAAGGAGAAATTTTAAACAGGTACTAATCTTTTTTGTGTTGCTTTTGTCATAACTTTCAGAAAGGAAACGTAAGAAACCCTCAGACAGTAAAAGATTTTCTCATTCTATGATGACAAAGATGTTCAGCCTCATGATGTATCCAGAAGCATGTAAAGGAGGTGAACATCTGTCTGTCATCATTCTATCCAAAAATAAAAGATGAGACTATAATATATGACCTCCAGTAACATCCAGAATGAGCACATTACAGATGTGTTTTTATCAATGTGACATCTCCTACTTTTTCTTCTGAGATTACTTCTGATTGCAGACATAGAAAGTTGTTTGAAGATAATATCTATGTTAACATATCTCACTTTGTTATCTTACTTCCATAAAGAGTTGGTTTTCTTAATTTCATCACAAAGATATGACTTTATTCCCAGGTCAGGTATCTTTATAGGGCTTATAAATATCCATTTTTATCATCTAATTTCTGCTGAGGTTTAAGTTTTGTTTTAAACTGAAAGAAGGATGTCAAAGTCAAACTGATTCTCCGTGCAGCAACACAGATCAAACTTAAATGACAAATTGTAATCTCATGTTAGTATAACTATTGATTTTTTTAAAAGTCAATGATGTACTAAAACTGTAATATCTGGTACTTTTTTAGGCTACTTATTTTGACATATTCACAAATTCACAAATCAGTCGTAAAAAAAACACAAATCAACATAAAGCAAATGAACCTAACGTAAGGACAAAGGAACGCAAACTGGAGTTCACATGTTCGTACACAGGATCTGATGCTGTTTCAAAAGTTGATCCTCTTTGTAGATGTTGTGAATGATTTTAGCTGATGACAAATAGGAAATATTACAGATCTTGATAAATAATGTCAAACCAATCAGAATAATTAAGTAAGTTTCTAAAATTGTTTTTTAAACTATCATTAATACATGTGTTGGTATTGGAAATAATTCATAATATATCAACAAAATAAGAATGAAGTAGGGTGAAAGATCCATTTTACACTCACATGGAGGTTTTTGTTGTTCTCTATAGCAGGTCAGGCTTGGTTTGGATGGAAGAGGAAGTAACAGACCTGAGCGCAGGCTTTTATAAAGTTGTGGTTGTGGCTTAAACAGGTGTGGCAAAGAAGTCAGATATTGGGATGCAAATTGGATGGTGTAACCCATTGGTGTTGATCTAGACCAGGAAAGGGCAACTTTGGTCACAGCAAGGGCCACATATATTTAATTCTCACTGTCAGAGGGCCAAATTGTAGGATACTCTTCGGTGGACTTATAATTCAACCAAAGGGAGGAATACATAGCTTTTATCAGCCTCTATGATACCAACATTCATATTTTAACCTCCAGTACAATTGTTAATCCTTAATTTAATATGCTTACTTCAAAATTAAGTTTCTTTTCCAATGCAATGAACAGAGTATTTACTGGTTATTTTAGGATATTTTTCTTTCTTTTTTTCAAATGTACACACTAGTGTTGTAGTAATCGAAATCAAGGCCGGTCTCGAGACCACTGTTTGAAGGTCTCGTCTTGAAAGTATTTTTACTCTGTCTTGTCTCTGTCTCAGACTGGGCGGACTCCTGATTTTAGATTAAGACCAGTCAAGACCACCTCCGATGCTCCTTTCTAAAAGAACAAATGACTTCAATTCATTTGTAGTTTGATTTTTATCTCTTGGTTACCACCGCAACCTTCCTGGTGTTACTGATGAGTGGTGAGTGACACGCCCGCTGCACACATGATGATTTTAAAAGTGATATTTATGGTCTTGGTCTTGACTTGGTCTCGATCCCTAAATGTCTCGGTCTTGTCTCAGTCTCATATCACTCTGGTCTCACATATGTCTTGGTCTCGGTTAGTGTGGTCCTCACTACAACATCAGTACTTAGTATACTTTCAAGATTCTGAAATCTATAAATACCTGGATCAGGTTGTGTTTTAAGTTGTTTATTTCTTGGACTAAAAGCTCTATGGGGTGGCAGTAGCTCAGTCTGCAGGGACTTGTGCTGGGAACCGGAGGGTCGTCGGTTCAAGTCTGGAGATTGGTCTGGTAGCTGGAGAGGCGCCAATTCACTTCCTGAGCACTGTCGAGGTGCCTTTAAACAAGACACCTCTCAAGGCGTTTCATAACACATTATCACTCACCCCCCCCCCCCCCTCCAGGATTATTAAAGTATTTCTGATTCTGATATAAATGGCGAATGTGAATAATAATGTGATTAATTCCAATAAACTATTGGAATCTAGTGATTCCAACAGTTTCTCGCTCATCTCCTGCTGCTTCTTTTTGTACCGGCAGAACAAACATGCAAAGTATTCTGCTCTTTGCATAATTTATTTACCTACCCCGCACACACACACACACACACACACACACACACACACACACACACACACACACACACACACACACACACACACACACACACACACACACACACACACACACACACACACACACACACACAAATTATCAGTCTCTCACAGCATGAACATTTGGGATTTAGAATTACACCTTCTGCATACAACACTTAATGTGTGGTGAAATAATATATAAACAAGCATGTGATCCACACTCCACACACAGTTTCTGTTATTGCAAATGATGTACAGTTGATTACTGTGTCCTACAAATAAACTTAACATGATGTGATGAAATAGGCAATGTCGACATTAACTCAACCTGTGAAGCATGTGAGGGCAGTCAAAAAACTTCTAAAGGACAGATTAAAACAATATCAAGTAGTTGGCAGTTATGATGAAGTAATGAATGAGTGTTAACATCTTTACAGAAGAATTTATATTTGTTGACTAATACTAATACACTGAAATCTTAATAACGTCTTGGCACTTTATTTTAGAAAGTTAAAAACAGCTTCTAAATGTTTATGGAGAGCTTATAAAATAGGGCGAAAGTTAAGTTCATCAAAAATGATCTTCAAAATAGAGAAGGTCCCAAATTGCAAATTGATGTGCGGTACCTTCCACTCTTTAATCAAACATAGGCAAATTACTATTCACACTTTGTTTTAATTCTCCACTCATGAAGAAGAAAAGGCTGCAAGACAATATATTTTTATATATATATTTCTACTGTATATTCGGGTGTGGGTAAGTAAAAGCACGGGAACAACTTCTGCTGTGCGTCTCATACGTTTAATGTCCGTCTGTAACAGAGCATGACATATCCAGACTGAACAACAACAACAGTGACACCTTACTTGTCCTAAAGCAATATCACTCCTCAAACCGTAACCATGGGTAACCTTAAAGGCATAGTGCATCATATCAAACAGATACTCTTGTACAGTACAAATTGTAAATATAAATGAAATTAGCATTAAATCAAATAATGTATATTATCTCAACCTAATCAAAATAAAGATCTATAAAATAATACTTCACAAAAATAAATCTCATCTCCATCTTACACTATCTTTGAAAGTCTTGACACTGGCTGCCTCTTTGTCTTCATATTGATTTTATTATTGTCTAAAGCACTTGGCCTCCCACCAGATTAACTTTTCAGAGTTGATTTTAGTTTATGAACCAGGACGACCCCTCAGGTCTTCTTGTTCTTCTATGGTTCTTCTTTTAGTTGTTCCACAGAGCAGAACAAAAACCTTTTGTGATTCTGCGTTTAGCTGCTCTGAGACTTTGGAACAGACTTCAGAGGATCAGAGAATATTGAGATTTTTAAAAACAATTTAAAAAACTCATTTATTCAGTCTGGCTTTTCTATATGACTTAATCATTTTAAGGCTTTTAATTTACTATATTTTAATCAATATTATTCATCTCTACTTTTAAATTTACATTTTAGTGTTTGATTTTAGGTTTTTAGTATTTATATTTATCAATCATTGTGCTGATTTCATTTCTTATTGCTGTTATATTTTACAAAATACCTGTTGTCAGTCATTTTTCCGCTACTTTGTAAAGGACTTTGAACTGCAATTAGATTTGTACCACAGGTGATATATACAGTGTATATATATACATATATATATAGATGCATATGGTTTGATAGATTACACAATGTTGAACTCAGGATTTTCTCTGATGTTTATTTTGAATACATGCAGATTTTATCAGATATGAACCCATCACAACAGGAATACACTTGAAAGGTTCTCATAGATGCTTTATGTAAGAACCAATCGTCAAACAATTATAGCTTCACTTAAAGTCTGTCATACATTTAAACACATTCATCATCCATTGAAGAAAGGTAGTTGATGGATACGTTTAAAAGATATTTTTCACTTCGAATTTCAAGTTTTTAGATGCAAATAAAGGTTTTCACAAGTTCCAGTTTTTAAAGTAAGAATCATAAACTCAAAAGAAGAGCACATTATAAAACATGCCCAAAAT